GCTTCCTTTTCTCAGGGCCTGGCTCTCAGCAAACTGCCTGATGAACTGGTTCACAGTGACTGGTAATAAGCCCCTAAGTTTCCTCCTGCCCCGTGCAAGCATTTTAGGAGCAGGTAACTTTGGCTCCCAAGGATCTGCTGCTGTCTGGATCCCAGGGGCAGAGATGGGGGAGGGGCTGGGATAAATAGAATAAACGGAGCCGGGGAAGGAAAAGCTTGCAGCCCAACACATTAGGCTCTGAGATGCGCTGCCAGATCAGCAAGCTGGGGGCACATTGCCTTGCTTTAGTTTCGTCAAGGGTAACATGGGACAGAGGTCACTTCCTCAAGGGCCCGTTATAATGAATAAATGACGTACACGTGCAAAGTGGCTTTGTATTCAGGGCTCTCTGTAGATATTAACAATAGACTCCAAGAAGCAGGGGTGAGGTCTGCCTTGTCCACTGCTCTCTGAGCACCCAGCACAGACCCTTGGTGAAGTTGATGTTCATAGGTTGATTTTGAATGAATGGAGGAAGCACAGATGAAGGGGTGCCTTTGGCTTATGTATTTCCCTCTGTATTCAGGGAGTGGGCTCCTGGGGTGACTGTGAGCTTTATTGCCTGACTGGGGGCTCTGCCAGCTCCTAGAGACAGACCCCCATGGGGTGAGGAGCTGGCTCCAGCTTGTGGTGTCAATCTGGCGATTGCCCAGGGCTCTCTGTGGCCAGAGGTTCATGAGGAGAGGTTGGGGTGGGGTGTGTGGGAATTCAGTCCTGCAAAACAGTAGACCAGAGTGAAAATCCTCCATTCCAGAGAGACCACCTTAGGGTTTCTGGGGTCACCTCAGACTTCCCTGTGCCTGGAATCAAAGCTGGAAGGGAGAGAAGAAGCTTCTTAGGGTGAAAAGAAAGTATTGGCTGGACTGATATGTTATGACCAGATGTACGCTTGCGTCCCCTGATCTTCGTCGTACTTCCCTGCCCTTTGGAGACTCTTGGCTGACAGTCTGCAATTTTGGAGTCTTGTGACAGAGAGGCCCTGGGGCCAGTTCTTGCTGCCTGAAGCTGATGGTGGCCCCATTCCTCAGCTCTTCTGTTCCTGAATTCCTGAACTCCGTAACCTCTGACCCCCTCCTGTCCACATGCCCCCAGCCAAGGCCGATGCAGGCTGTGGTCCTGACCAGCCACCAGAACCCACGCCCTGCTCACCTTTGCCCCCTCACAGGGATTGGGTTCACTTTCCCTCCCCACACTCCAACCACACACCCATCAAAGGTGTTAGGGATGGAGAGTTAGCTTTTGAACAGTTAAAAACAGATGTGTCGTCACAGAAAAGAGAACAATCAAGAAATAATCTTTAAAAGAATTGTGGTAAGTGATATGTTTACTTGAGAATTGAGTGAGTGTAGGCTTTACTGCAGCCAAGAGATGTGTGTGTTTGGGGTGGTGGCGTCACCAATTGTTCACAGGAAATACACCTTATTTTCCATGGTAGATATAATCTCTTCACCACCTTTTAGGTAGTGGGAAGGGGCAAACTTTAAACTTGCCAGTCTGTGATGTCTCAGTGTCTTCTGGCTTCTGGATGACTCAGGCCCCTCCTCCTCCTACTGTTCTCCCAAATGGCATCTGGGGGCTTTGAGACGTGGTGTTGGCTGGGAGAAGGGGTCTGGGACCCTCACTGAGCTCTGCTGCAGAGTGGCTGGATTGGCCTGGCTTCCAGAATGGTCAGCAATGTAGAGGGGTCATTGGTCCCAGTTGGCCTTTTGGGGAGCCATGCTGGCTTAAAGTGCTGTCCCCCTCATGGGGCCTATTTGTCTATCCTCAGGCCCCAGACAACCCATCATGCGTGGGGGCATGTAAGGGACCCAGGGGTGTTGCTTCCTGCTTACCTATTAGCCACCTTCCTCCAAAGCAGCCGTGTAGCCCTGTGGGAAGCTACACCCCACAGAAACCACGGTTTCCGAGAGGCTTGCAACCTGCCCAGGCTGTGCTGAGAGCTAGGCCTTCAGCCTCCTCTTCACACCCGTCATCCCCTCCCCTAGGGCTCAGCTGCATGGAGCAGGTGGGGGACGCAGGGGTAAGCTGTGAAGGACCCCTCCCCGCCTCATTTTCCCTTTATCTCCTTCCTTTTGTCAGCTTCTGCTGAGGAGAAAGGGGCCAGCTTTTCACTTCCTGTTCCTTTTTTTAAACTTTTTTATTACCACAGACAGCCCCATTGATATTTTCACCTTATTGTTTGCATAAGCCTCACAGCTCAGCCTCAATGGCCAAAGGGCTATTTTCTGTAAACTGGAAGACGTGACAAATCGAGACTGTAAGTTCTGGTTCCTGACACATTACTGGATCTGAAACAATATAGAGGTCTCCTGTATCTCCACAAAGCCTGACTTCCAATCCTATTGATGAGTGTTTCCCAAGACTCCCTTTTCCTCCGTCCAAACCTGGACCTATTTCAAACCCCTCTGAGAAAACAGCAGCAGAGGCCACACTCAAGAGAAAACACAGTAATGAAAACCTGAAGCGTCATCCTCGTCTGCATATGGGCCACTGCTGTAGGCCAGGCCCCTCAGGGGAGGGTGTGAGTGTCACGGTGACCCTTGGCCCTGCCTCTCCCTCCCACCTCACGTCATACAACAACCCCCTTTGCTCACTCCACATGCTGAGCCACACTGTTCTCGTTGTGGTCCCCAGATACTCCAAGCCTTTGCATGAGACCCAGGGGTGTTGCCAGGCCAGCGCAGCCCATGCATCAGGGTCTTTCCAGTCCCCTCTTCCCTTTGCCTGGGCTGCACCTCTTCCCCCTGCTCACAAGGCCAGTTTCTTCTTAGTCCTTCATTTACTCAACACAATTTTATTACCAGCTGTCAAGCACTGTACTAAGCGCTGGGAATTCAGTGGGGACCAAAAGGAACTTAAGATTTAGAGAAGGGGAGACCCAATTCATCCCACGGTGAGGGTGAAAGCTCCACTGGGATAAGGGCCATGAAGCAGAAGTCCAGTGAGGACTCATAAGAGAGAATCTGCTGGGGTTTAGAGGGCAGGGGGTGCTTTCCTGAGGAAGTGGCAATGAAGCTGAGATCTGAGGGGGAGTGGACTGGCCGACAGGAGACGGGTAGCTGGTGCGGAGGCTCTGTGGTGGGAGTAGCGGAAGGCGTGTGGCCAGGATAAGGGCTGGAGGAGGTGCAGTCGGCTGGGTTGGAAGCAGTGCGCAGAGCGTGATCTCATGTGGCGACCAAGCTGTGTCCCATCTATAGCTAAGTCCAACTGATTCTGCCTTCTCGACATCTCAAATCTAGTCACTTGTCTCCCTCTCCAGCAAAACACCACTGACCTCCATTAGCTAAGTCTGAGGGATGTTTTCAGGCTTCACTGGTCCCTTGCAGCACCATTCAGCTGCCTCCTTTCTATGGCTTCTACGATGCAGCTCTCTTCTGGTTCATGTCCTTCTCTTCTGATAGATCCTTTCTGTTGCTTGTGTAAGATTGTCCTCCTCAACCTGTAACCAGCTGCTAAGTCCCAGAATTCCTCCAGGTCCAGCCCTAGGCCTCTCCCTCTCTCCAGGCAATCAGGCAATTCTCTCCACACGGGGGCTTCAACTGTTGCTTAAACACAGATGAGGCGCACATTTTATCTCTCTTCTGAACCCTAGCTGTTTACTTAACATTTCACTTCGAGGTCACAAAGTCGCCTCCAACTCAGTATGTGTCCACGACCAAACTCATGATTTCCCCCTCAGCCCCTAACTCCTCCAGAATTCCCTGTTTCAGCGAAGAGCCCACCATCCAGTTATACAAGCCAGAGATCTGGAAGCTTCCTCATGCCTTCTTCTCTATCACCCCTAAATCCAACCACCATATTCTAGAGATTTTGCCTTCTAAATATGTCTCAAGTTCACCTACTCTTTTCCCTTAAGCTTCAACACCCACTCAGTCCAAGTCACCATCCGTTTTCTGCCTTGATGACTACAACAGCTTCTTTCTTTTTTTTATAATCTTTTTTTTTTTTTTAGGGTTTAATTGGGGAATTGGGGGAGGGAACAGTGTAGGGAATTGGGGAAGGGGAACAGACAAGTTGCTGTCCTTTTGTTCTTCAGTCTAGTTGTGGAGGATGTCGCTTCACTGGCCCATGTTGTTATTGTGATCATAGTGCTCTTTCTGGCTGAGGCAGATCTGTCGCCGGCCATTGGACGGCTGCTCACAGCAGCTCCCTCTGGCTGTCGGCTGCGCACGCTGGCTGCTGGCCATTCACGGCAGCCCAACTCCAGGTTGAGCTGTTGTTCACCATCTTAGCTGTAGAGGGCGCAGTGTCACTGGCCCATGTGGGATCTGAACCGGTGGCCCTGCTGCTCAGAGCTCGCGCTCCCAAGCCAACTCTTAACCAACGAGCACTTGGCCGGCCCCTGCAACAGCTTCTTTACTGGTACCTCAGCCCCCTCGTGCTCCCTTCCAACTTATTGTCCTCTGTGCTGCCAGGTGGAGCTTTTGGAAACATACATAGGACCACATCACATATGGTTCCTCAATCTTAAAACCCTTCTATGTCTCTCATTCCTCTCAGGAGCAAGAAAAATCTTTAGTAAGGCTTGCAAGGCCCTGCCGGGTCTTGAGTCTCCTCTCACACAACTGTCTCCTTCCTGCCTCCATTGATAACCTTGGTGGAATCTGCTCTTTGCTTGGACCTGGGGAGCCCAATAACACAGTTACAACCCTCTCTTAGGGTGAGAGTATTCTGCAGATGGCTGCTCATGTCCATTTTATATTGATCGTATTAGCTTCAGTTAATAAGAAGATCTGGTCTGTTAATCCTCGGAATGTACTCACCTTGGAGCCTGACACCCTCCACAACCTATCACAAGCTATGTGGTTCCAGTTAAGGGATATATTTTGTGCAAAGAACAAACTATTTTTAAAATGCAGATTTGCCTGATTCCCTTTAGATTGTGACACTGTGATCCAGGATATTCCCAGGGGAAATCCCACTTTTTGTGTCTCTACAGATTCTTTGTTTTCCCATTGCAGCCATGGAAATAAAGAAGCCTTCTCTTGCCGGGGAATCCAGCTGGCTGTGGACTGGTTCAGGGACAGAGGACACACCTACATCAAAGTTTTTGTCCCTTCCTGGAGGAAAGAACCACCAAGAGCTGATACCCCCATTAGAGGTATGTTGGAGCAGATACACCCTCCCTCAGTAGTATGCCTGACAATGATACACACTCAGTTATCTACTTAGCTATTTGGTTGCTGATGTCTGTCTTCCTCCTGTAAGCTTCATGAGGGCACTGACTATGAAGGTTCACTGCCATAGCCCTGACACCTAGCATAGCGCCTGGCATAGAGTAGGTGCTCAATGGATAGTTGTTGAGTAGATGAAAGAACAAATTACTTCACCTCTGAGTGTAAATGATCAGTTTGAAAAATAATGGTGTCTTACAACTTTTAACACTACAGAAAGATTGGATCTACACCTCTCCCCCTGCCCTCCCCCCATAGAGTAGAGGATCTGAAAGAGATATTTATTCGGTCTGGTGATGTTTATTTACTGAACAACTAACTCTTCATTCTCTTCATTCAAACAAAGAAAAAGGAAACTGAGATCCAGGGATTTCTTTATTTTTAATGCTTATATCAGCTAGGAATATTATAAGCTACAAATAATGGGACACATAGTTTAAATAAACAGGGATTTGTTTGTTTTTTTGTTTGGCTCTCTTATAACAAGAAGTCAGATGCCAAGCCATTACTGACATTGTTTCAGTCAAGTCAATGATAGTAGGAGTGACTTCTTGGTGATTCTGGTAGGTTCTTTTGACTTTATTTTTTGGCCTTTTTGCCCCCAATTTTTGTTTTTGTTTTTAATTCTGTCAATGGTTATCAATTGCTTCTACTTCTCATTCTGATTCTCTTTATTTTTTAAATGAAATGGTATTCTTCTCGTATGGGTGCAGTAGCTTCTTGACTATCCCTATACTAATACAGAGTTTTAAAAAGTTCTCTTAAGTTTCACAAATCATTCCCCCCCACCCCCCCACCAGAGTCATTTCTCTTTGTTCATCTGTCTTTCTCTTTTTGTGTTATTAGGTCTTCTCAAAAGTCTGGTGACCCTTTGGTTGTCTGTTTTTACTTGTTAATAAAGAACCAGATTGGTTAAATACAAAATCTATGCAATTGCCATGGGTTCTCTCTCCTCATATGTGGCTCTTTCCCTGAATGGTAGGGCTGACCACTGGTGCTGCCTGGCCGATTTAATGAATGAATGAATGAATAATTAATTTTTTATTTTTTATTTTATTGTTAGTTTCAGGTGTACAGAACAATGTAATAGTTATCCTTTTCACCCCTCACAAAGTAACAACCCCCCTCCCCCATCTATTGTCCTCCCACCCCCGATATCATGTTTATCTATTACAATTCCATTGACTTCATTCCCACACTCTACTCCGCGTCCCGTGACTATATGTATATATAATTATAGTTGACATACATTATTATTCAACATCAGCTTCAGATATACAGTGCTGTGGTCAGGCCTCTACACCAACTATGAAGTGGTCTCCCTAACAAGACATGAATCCATCTGGCCCCCTAAAAAATATTTACAACATTATTGATTATATTCCCCAGACTGTCATTTCTATCCCTGAGGCCATATTGTAGTTACCAATTTGTATTGTCTCGTCCCTTCCCCTTCTCCTTCATCCCCACCCCATCCCAACTAGCAACCCTCAGTTTTTCCTCTGTGTCTCTGAGACTATTTCTGTTTACATTTCTCATTTATTCAGTTTTTTAGAATCCACGTATAAGTGAGATCATATGGTATTTGTCTTTCTCTGACTGACTTATTTCACTTAGCAAAATGTTCTCTAGTTCCATCCATATTGTTGCAAAGGGTACTATTTCCTTCTTCTTTATAGTTGAGTAATACTCCATTGTGTAAATGTACCATAGTTTCTTAATCCAGTCTTCTACCGATGGGCATTTCGGTTGTTTCCAAGTCTTAGCGATTGTGAATAGCGCCACAATGAACATAGGGGTGCATATATTTTTTCGGATTAATGTCTTGGGTTTTTTTGGATAAATACCTAAGAGTGGGATTGCTGGGTCATAAGGCAGTTCCATTTCCAGTGTTTTGAGATACCTCCATACTGATTTCCATAATGACCGCACCAATCTACAGTCCCACCAAGAGTGCAGCAGGGTTCCCTTTTTCCCATAACCTCGCCAGCATTTGTTGTCTGTTGATTTATTGATGATAGCCATTCTGACCGGGGTGAGGTGGTATCTCAATGTGGTTTTTATTTGCATTTCCCTAATGCTAAGTGAGGTTGAACATTTTTTCATATGCCTGTTGCCGGCCGATTTCATTTAGTATACCATGCATGGAGCAGACAGGCAGCTGGGCACGTCTGCCCACCGCACACTCCAGTGCCACAGTGATGGTGGTTTTACTATAGCAAGTCAGTGGCCACATGGGAACCTCTTCATCCTAGTTTTATCTTCACTTTCCTTATAGTGATGGGCATAGAAAAAGGGTGGGTGCAGCTGCCCAAGGAGTAGCCCTTCAGTTAGCCATCCTGACTTCTGCTGACTTCCCTCCATGTACCTGGGGCTCCGGGACTTTTCAGAAAAAATGGCTCCACCGCCACTTCTGCACAGTTCTGTTCTGTGGCTTCCCCTGCACCCTAGGAGCTATATGAGCCTATTTGCTCTCTGTCTTCCTGAAATTTGTCAAAATCTTGTGTTTGCTGCTGTCCCCAAGCCCATTTTTTAATGTGATTAGCGATCCCCTCCCCTTTTTGCACTTCTTCAGTGCCATTTCAATGGGATTATGAGAAGGAGTGGGGATAAATACTTGTGTTCAGTTGTCTATCATGAACTGGTTACCCCAAATTATTTTTTATGGTCTGAACATGGAGAGTGGTGGTTTTCAACAGCTGTGTAATATTTAAATCTAGTACGGTTAAAGAGTAGGGAAATCATTTTGGGGTAGGGAAGGAATTTTTAAATAAGCCACAACAAGTGCAAATCTATGGGAGAAAGATTTGTAAATTTGACTACATTAAAATAAAAGCTTCCGTTCACTAGAGGATACCACAAATACAACAACAAAAAAGAAAAACGAGCCTTAAATCAAAGAGGCTGTACATCACATATTTCTGACGAAGGATTACTGTCCAGAATCTATAGAGAACATCTCCAAATTAATAAGACAAGGACAAAGGACCAACAGAAAGATGAGCTAATAAGTAGAGATAGGTCTTTCACAGGAGAGAGCACATAAATGGCCAGTAAACATATGAGAAGATGCTCAGTCTCATTAGTAACCAGAGAAATGCAAAATAAAACCACAGGAGGCCACCTTACACCTGCCAGATTGGCAAAAATTCAAAAACCTGAAAATGCCAAGTGTTGTCAATGTTGCCACAACCACTTTGGAAAACAACTTGGCCTTATCTTGTAAAGTGCCTTTCCCTACAACTCAGCCATATCACCCCGAGAAATACACCCTAGAGGAATGCTTATACTTCTGCACCCAGGGACGTACACGTAGGACTGACAGCAGTGAGCATATGGACATGGCCAAACCTCACCAACACAATGTTACATGAAGAAAGCAAGTTCCACATGAATATATACAATGTGATTTCATTTGTGTAAAGTCTGGAAGTTCATAATCACATTGAAAATAGTCTTCTTGGGGTGGGGGGGGAGGTTAAAAAAAATAAAAGCAAGGGAATTATAAACACAAAGTTCTATGAATTGGATTATCTTTTTAAAAAGATTTTATTGGGGGGCTGGCCCAGTGGCTCATTGGTTAAGAGTTGGCTTGGGAGCGTGAGCTCTGAGCAGCAGGGCTGCAGGTTTGGATCCCACATGGGCCAGTGACCCTGCGCCCTCTACAACTAAGATGGTGAACAACAGCTCCACCTGGAGCTGGGCTGCTGTGAGTCACTGGCGAGGGCGTAGGCTGCAGTGGAGCTGCCGTGCGTGAGCTACCGTGAGTGGCTAGCAGCTAGTGTGAGCTGCCGTCCAAGGGCCGGCGACCGACTGCCTCACCCAGGAAGAGCACAATGATCACAATACCAATGTGGGCCAGTGAAGCGACGTCCTCCGCAACTAGACTGAAGAACAAAAGGACAGCAACTTGTTTGTTCACCTTCCCTGATTCCCCAGTGCTGTTCCCCTCCCCCAATTACCCAATAAAATCTTTAAAAAAAAAGAAAAGATTTTATTGGGGAATTGGGGAAGGGTGCAGTGTTGAGGAATTGGGGAAGGGGAACATTGTGTTTTTCCAGGACCCATAAGCTCCAAGTCAAGTTGTTGTCCTTCAATCTTAGTTGTGGAGGGCACAGCTCAGCTCCAAGTCCAGTTGCTGCTTTCAATCTAGTTGCAGAGGGCACAGCCCACCATCCCATGCGGGAGTTGAACTGGCAACATTATTGTTAAGAGCACACACTCTAACCAACTGAGCCACCCTGCTGGCCCAAGAATTGGGTTATCTTAAGGGAAATGAAGAGAAATGCAAACTGTGAGAGGCAGCGGGGACTTCATGGGCTGTGTTTTCTTTCTCAGAGGGAGTGCCACATATGTGGAATTAAAAAACATATTTTTTTGTATTCATGCATTATATACTTTTTTTAAAGTCTGGAAACTATGTCACATAGAAAGGGACTTAGACTTGAGGGAAGAAACCATTTGTGAAGCATATGCTAATCCTCTTCCAAGTTTGGAGCAACTGTTTTGTGGAGAAGGGATTTCTTTTGCCTGCCTCCAAAGGCAAAAAACTGAAGTCAAAGAATAGGCCTTCCAGGGGTGTGAAGTTTAGCTCCTATTGAGACTTTGTCACATTTGTGACACCTGACACACGTTCACTTCCTGGCTGGAGCTTAGCCCGTCTCCTTGCAGACATTGTGAGGCCAGTGGAGGCGTTATTACCTTTGCTTTATAAATAGAAACACTGACATTCAAAGACAGGTGAAATACCCAAGAGCTCCAGCTAAGACCAGAATCCAGGCTGCAGATTCTTAACCCTGGACTCTTCCCTTGACACTCTTGTGTCCCTCAGAGCTGTCACTTATGAGATGTTCCATCCTGGAGGTGTCCCAAGCAGATTCCTGTATCGTGGGGAAGATGGACAGAGGCTCCCAGCTAAGGGCCCATGCAGGACACTTCCAGGCAGATAGATGCAAGGCTCCTAATAATTCTGAAGGCATTGCCCGAATTCCAGTTAAAACATGGGTCTTTCCCCAGAAAAAGGCCTCCTGTGTCAAAAGTGACTCCTCCTTGTTGGGTATCATCCTATGGACTCCTGTCATGACATAGGAAGGACAGAAGCCAAGAGCTGTCTTGACCTTGGGCAGCTATTCTTCTCAAGACCTCCACGCTCATCTGATGGTCAGGGCCATGGGGTGGGGGAGGTGGGAGTTGGCTCAGATGGGATTCCTGAGCTGCAGAATCCGCTCAGTGATCTTAGGATGGTCCTTAGGGGTGGGGGATCCCTCTGAGAAAGCTGCTACATGCCATCTCCTGCCCGTCCTGTGGCCCCCAGAGCAGCATGTGCTGGAGGAGCTGGAGAGGCAGGCTGTGCTCGTGTACACCCCATCCCGCAAGATGAACGGCAAGCGCGTGGTCTGCTACGATGACCGCTACATCGTGAAGGTGGCCTACGAGCGGGATGGCATCATCGTCTCCAACGACAACTACCGCGACCTTCAGAGCGAGAACCCTGAGTGGAAGTGGTTCATCGAGCAGAGGCTGCTCATGTTCTCCTTCGTCAATGACCGGTACGTGGTGACTGAGGGGGTCCTGGCATGGGTGGGTTGAGGGTGACTGGCAGAAAGCCACTCCAGCTAGTGTGGGCCCAGCGGGCTTGCAGTCACAGGCACACCACACCGGAAGCAGAGGACACCCAGCCCTGGAGATGGCTGGTCTGAGGGCACCCTGTCCATTCCTTGAGGTTGCACAGCCTGTCTTTGTTTCTCTGGGTCTCCTCTCTTTCATGACCAGCTTTCCCAACAGGGCTGTTTTGCCCCAGCTGTACATGACCTTTCTGTTCCCATGTCCACATCTGGCTGACCTGGCACAGCAGGTGGGCCAAGCATGGGCTTGGGGCACCCTAAACGTTTTGTTTTTATTTTTAAAGAATTTAATACTTCAACTAAGAGCTCTGGAACAGTCATCGTGGGGAAAATCTGAACTTCGTGGCACTTCCTTTCACTTACTTTATGTTTTTGTCTGTTTGTTTAAAAAGCTTTGAATTACATGGGGGAGCGGGCAGCAGCATCTTTGGGGCTGTCAAGCTCTTGGAACTGACTCTGTCTGAGTACCTCTTAGTTGGAATTTTCAATAGAATCTGGTTGGTTCATTTGTCCCCTAGGTTGGTTCCCCTGGGTTAGGACCACCCTGGTCCAACCAGCTACGGCTGGGGGATGTCAGGGTCACAAGGCATACACTCCTTAGCAGGTGCTGGGAGCGGGCCTGTAGACTGAGCTAAGCTGGGGAGGAAGCGATGGCTGGCCCACTGCATGTGCTCATGCGGAGGGCAGAGGCAAGGAACCTGGCAAGGTGGGACTTCGCTCCTACTTCCACTTCTGTCCCAGGCGGTGATGGCTCCGTCCTCATTCTGGGTTCTCTGACGGCTTTTAAGAATGTGGCTTGAGACAAGCTCTCCACCTCTGTGGGGCCAGGCACTGCCTATGTCGTATCTGCCATGGCCCCGCATGCCTGGAACATCACAGGCACTCCATTACTAGTTGTAGATGAGTGAGTGAGTGAGTGAGTGAGTGAGTGAATGGCTGCAGCCCTGCGGATGGGAGCGAAGGGGGGACATGTCAGCTGGGTTGGGCCACTTGCACATGGCAGACTAGCTCCTGACCCGATAGCCTGGGAGGAGTATGGTGCGGCGGAAAGAGCTGGGAAGCAGGAGGTGAGGTTTCATACTGAAGCACTGCCGTTTACTGGCCATGTTGTGGGGCAATCACTCAGCCTCACTGAGCTGAATGTTCTTTACCTTGAGTTAACTGTACTTGGATTAATCACACTTAATGTCTGAGGTAGTTGTGAGGACTAGAGAGAATTGCACTGTGATTCCCAGGCCAGGGTAGGACATGGTGCTTCCAGGAGGCACTGTTGCCCCACTACCACCTGGCCCACAGCCCTGGAGGTGGCAGCGCCTAAGCCCCAGGGTACAGGCTCACAGCAGCTACCCGGCAGTAGCCACCATGGTCATTTCACATACACAAGGCCAGTGGCTCCCTCTAGCTGGCTCAGGCATGGAGGAATCTGGTAACTGTGGGTTCCAGAAAACCCTCACTGAGGCCTGACAGATCATGGCTGCCTCTGGCCTAGCGACAGCCTGGGACCCAGGCCAAGTCCTTTTGATGCCCTGGCCTCTCCACAGGGCCTGCCAGAAGGTCCCCCAGCTGCCAGGAGGCAGAGCCTGCCCGCTTGCCAGTGGGCGAGGATGCCCGTCCCAGGGCCCTGGACACTTCCATGGGGCTTTTTTGGACCAGTTTGCAGCTGCAATGCTGGGAGAGAGCAGAAGGGAAAGCCTTTGGGAAGTTTTAATAACCTCAGCGGGCGGCTCCCCAGATTCTTGGTCAGGGCCCAACGTTGAGAAGCTGGCCGTGTAGTTGGGATCTGAACTATGGAGGCTGCCTGGGACTGGGTATCGCCCAGCTCTGGGCCAGCCTGGTGGACCTGGTGCAGGGTGGGACCTCAGCATGACCCTTGACTCTGGGGGGGACACAAACTCATAAAAACAGGCGCCCTATTTAGAAGCCACAATCCCTCCAGTGGAACCTTGGTGTGACCTGGACGTGCCTCCTGGGAACAGAAGTATTTTATAAGGCAGTGGGAGTTTCCTTCTGAGTACTGTTGTTTCTCCCTTTGAACTGTGGGCACTCGGGAGCTGCCTTCCCCTCCTAGACTTAACGCCTGGGAGAAGGAAGGGGCAGCAGGAGGCAGGGCGGTGTCAGAGAACATGGCTGGGGTCGAGTAGCCCTGGGAGCTGAGACCAAGCCCACCCAGGGCCCCGGGTTTGCAGAGGAGGGTCGGGCCTGTAAGGAGCTTCTGCGTGCATCCCGCACCTGGGATCCACTGCTACACTGACCCACCGACTGGCGTTTCAAGTTCTCTGTCCATATTTATCCCACCCTGTATGTGCCCAGGACTGTGGGGGTAGCTCCACAGAAACGGGATGTGAGCCTCAAGGAGCTTAGAGGAGGAGGAGCTGTTTTATAGCCCCATGGGGGCCTCGGACCTTTTGTTGAAGACAACAGGAAGGCAGCTTAGAGTCACTTTCAGAGTAGGACCTAATTATGCTTCAACTTGAATGGGGAAAAAAAGTCACCTGGGGTGTTGTTAATATATCGATTCCTGAACAACTTGAGATTCTGATTCCGCAAGTCTGGTGGGAAGCCAGGGGCCTGCATTTGGGAAGGAACTGCTAGGTGATTCTGGCACTGCTGGTGTGGACCTCAGCAGGAGAAACTGGGAAGAGGCCCATGGGCTGCTCTCCCAGGATCCGTGCTGCGCCGTGCCCTGCATGGATTCAGTGAGAAGGAAGGGTGTGCTGCTTTAATAATATGCTATGACACACCTGGGTGCAGGAAGGGGCCTGGAAGGTGAGCCGAGGCCACACCCTTGTCATACAGGTGCCACTGTTGAATCCCTGTGGGTCTTGCAGTTGCCGCCTTGTGCTTGTCTTCCAGGTTCATGCCTCCTGATGACCCCCTGGGACGCCGAGGACCCACCCTGAGCAACTTCCTGAGCAGGAAGCAGAAGCCCCCAGAGCCATCTTGGCAGCACTGTCCCTACGGTGGGTGGCGCCGCTTGCCTTGGGGGGCCCTGTTTAGGGCCTTGTGTCTGGATGGCAGCTTCCTGACAGGGTTATTGTAAGGATGAACTGACATCCGGGCCGCCTGTTGCATGGAAGCGTTTGTGGGGGCTGGATACAGGGGTCACACGCAGGGCAAAGCCAGGTCCAGGAAGCTGGGGCTTTGTGCTCCCCTAAGTTCTCCTTTCTCAGTCCCTTCACCTGGCACCCTGGCACGTTGTGTCCCATCCTGCCCCACCATCCACCCTACCCCGGTGCCCTTATAGACTTTGGTCAGTGTTATCCATTGAAAGTTAAGGATTTTATCCAGAGACCTCCAGGATGCCCGCCTTCTAGCCAGTTCTCACTAACTTGCTTTGTGAGTTATTTAATGTCCCCAGGCCTGTGTGTGTGTGCATGTGTGTGTCCCTGTAGAAGTTCAAAAAGCCTTAGGTGATAGTCATTTCTTGTTAGAACTAAGGTGACATACACTCAGGTGGGCTCATCCCGCTCTCTTTCTCTCTTAAAAGGACCCAGGTTTGGATGATAAATTATTTGATTACCTCTGTAGGGAGAGGGCAATGGTTACCACAGGGATGTGGACAGCGGTGGAAACTGAGGCAGCACCGGAGGCACAATCCTGTGCCATGAGCACCCACTGCTCCCGCCCCAAGCTTGGCCCTATCTACAGGGTTCCTGGGGAAGTGGAGGCTGAATGTCATTGGAAGGCGCGATTTGGTCTCAGTCCCTGGCAAAAGGGAGTTCCCAGACGGGCACCTACCTGCCGGACGCTGGGGTTGCTGTACCCAGCGCCCCATACCACAAGGGGGAGGGTGCTGCACCCTCGTGCCTTCCGCCTGTGCCCCACCTAGGTCTGCCCCAATCCTGAGAAGTCCACGGCCTGGTGGCCTTTTGTGAGGAAGGTCCAAGGAGAAAGGCTGCGGGGCGGGCCATGCCTGGACCACCCAGGACCCGCACAGCCTCTCCCCGCCCCACGTCTCACCCAGCGCCCTCTCTCTCCGCTGCCCCTTCCAGGCAAGAAGTGCACCTACGGCATCAAGTGCAAGTTCTACCATCCCGAAAGGCCGAACCACGCTCAGCTGGCTGTGGCCGACGAGCTCCGAGCGCAAACGCGGACCTGGCGGCGTGCGGGCGCGGACGAGGAGCGGCCGAGGGCCGGGGCGGAGCGGGGCGGCGCCCGGGGCGCACCCACCCCCTGCGGGCCCAGCCTCCGGGAGCCCGGTGTGCGCAGCCTGCCCCCGGTGCGGCGGGCGGCCGACGTGGCGGGCATCGAGGGCGGCCTCTCCCGGCTCGCCGTCAGCGACGACTCGGGGTTCCTCGGCGCGCCCCCTCCCGACCCCGGCTGCGGCCTCGCGCCCCGTCCGCGCCGTCCCGACTGGGTGGCACCCAGGGCTTCGCTGTCCCTGCCAGCCCTGCCTGGCCTCTCCAGCTCCCTCGGCCCATCCGGCCCGCTGGTCCGGCCGCTGGCTGGGGACCGCCTGGGGGACCCGCAGAGTGACTTGCTCCCCGAGAGAAGGCCTCCCACCGACCCGTGGGCCCTCCCACATGGGGCCGCCCGTATTCCGGGACATTCGGCCTGGGCGGAAGTGGGATGGGGCGATGGTGCCTTTTGGGGGCCTTTGGGATCCGCGCCCGGGGCCGCAGCCCGCGACAGGGACGCGCGCGCTCGGGCCCGCACCGCGCTCTGCAGCATGTTCCCGCCGCATCAGGTGGACAGCGTCATGGCCCTGTACCCCACGCTCTCTGACGTCACCAGGCTCGTCTTCCTCATCCGGCTATTCCAAAGGTTTGATGCGCCCGTGGGAAACCCCTAAGGAGCAAGTAAAAGCCACCTCCAGTGATGTCCCAGCCCTGCCTTGCGACTTAGCCAAGGTGGGCCGGTGGTTGACAGCCTGCACCTGGGACCGCCCACCTGTGTGGGATTCCCTTCTCTTTAAAGGTGGTCAGGGAAGCCCACTTCCTCACCCTCAGCTACTCAGCTAGGCCCTTAGTGGCACTTCGTGACCCTCACTGACAACATAGGGCTGCTGCTGCTGGAGGTCTGTGTGCTGCAGACTAAGGTCGGCTACTTCTGTAGAGGGAGTGATTTCTCCAAGGATTTGTCTGGAACACTCCATGGCTGTTTTTGTCAAGCTGCAGTTGGGATCCCCAAGTGGGTCACAAGGTCAATTTAGTGGGTCACGCCAGAAATGAAGTGAATAGAAAATCTCAGTGCACACCCCACATCATCCTGCTAAGTATATATGAACCTCTTGATTGTTAGCTGTGTGTGTGTGTGCCTGTGGTAGCCATGTATATTTAATGTGGGTCACGGGCAAAAATTTGAGAAATCCCGGTAAATGGCCTTGAATTTCATTGCATCAGAACATGTTTGAAATACGTAGTCAGTTGGCCAGTGCAGGTTTTCACATCTGGAGGTTTCATATGAGCTGTTTCTAGTCTAGCCTCATGAGGGCAATACAGAACTCTAGCTTTGAGATATGAGCTCCACATGTCACTTTGATGTTGTGTGGCTGTGCTGGTCTGTGGAGGTGTGGCAGGGGCACGTTGTCCTGAGGGCCTGCCTGTGGGGCCTTCACCCCCTTCATATACACACACAGACATACACACACACAGACACATACACACATACACCTCACACACGTACTGCTTTACTATGGGCTAAGAGGCCCTCTATTGACCAAGGCTTCTAAGCCATACCTCACACAGAAGCCCTGTGAGTCAGGACTTTTGCTCAGAAACCCTCAGATTGGTCAGAGGTGAGCTGGGATGAGCCTCAGTCATGGAGGTTTATTGCTACCTGTTACCATTGCTGTTTTTTCCAGGAAGCTATTGCTTTGGGTTTTGGGGAGAAAGGGGTCCACACATTTGTAATGGACAAGAAATTACATGATGCTGCCAGAGCATGGACCTCAGGCATCTCTGAGTGGCATCCACCCATGCACTCTGGGTTACAAGTCCAGCTCTGCAGGTCTTGGCTGGTTTGTTCATGAGGGGACTTGGTGGCTTGGCCATAGTGGAGAGTGTGAGGCATCTCTCAATGGAAAACCAGCGGCCAACCCCTGCATGCTTCCTGCAGACTGGCAAGAGCAGAGGGAAACTTCTCAGTGTGTTACTCGGCTGCAATGCTGGCATAGCCCAGGGTGTACCCTGGGAGGCTCGGCTCCTGGCCCTCTGGTTCATGCTAAATGCAGCCGTTGGAGATACAATGACGTTGTGTCTGCCTTGAGCCTTTTCATCTTGTTAAACCAGATTCTGGCTTCAGCCAGATCTGTTCCTCACCTTTTTTCTTCCGAAAGAGCACCCTGCACTCACAATTGTACCTTATTATTTTGGGACCTCAGCCTTGAAGAGGGCCCACTCTTTCTAGATAAACTGGATTTCCCTCTTGGTATTTCTTTTTAATTTTTTTTCTCTTTTGACCAGACAAGCTTTATGTTAGAGCTGCTTTTGTCAAGGGTCTGTCTCCTGACATGGAATCATTGCTTTGCTGATTTACAATTGAAAAATGTTTAAACTGCTTCCTTGGAGGACAAGTTTGAGTTTTAGTAAGCTGTAAAGCTATTTTATTTGGTTTACTGTGATTAAGACAAGCACAAAAACAACTGAAGAAAGAACACATTTTGATGTAATCCCCTTTGGAATTTTTTCCAAAGTCTTGGTATGTCTTTGTGACACAAAACATGGATGGGACAGGTGAATGAAATGTTCCTAGTTGCATAGCTGTTACCATGCTCCAAAAATAAACCACTTTTACCCACACCTGGACTCTTCACTGTCAAATTGTATATCAGTTTCTCTCATGTCATCTTTTCCCTTTAAGCTGGCTTTTCATGTAAAATATTGTGGGTGTGAAGATTGAGGTTATTTTATGGCAGTTTTATTCAGTGTTATTCCATCCTTAAGGTGCGGGGAGGAGGTGAGGGGCCTGGAGTCTATCTTTTCCACTAGAAGCAGCAAGGCCTAACGGAAGGACATGTCTTGCTGGCTATTCAGCAGGCTGCTCCCAAGGACACAGGCTGCTTACCTGTTTGGGAGACATTTGAAATCCTCGTTATGGAACTACGAAGCAGTCTCATAAAAGCCTCTCTTCTTGTGTGAGCCTGCAGCCAAGTCCTTGGTTGCTTGAACCCGAGGAGCCCAGTGCCGGACCATGTTTATGCCAGTGCAGCTTTCCCGAGGCCTCTGGAAGGTGGTTCAAGGCAGAACTGCAAGATGTTGGCGGTTGAGGGGAGAAGCAAGAGAAGCCGTTGGTGTCAGCATTGTTCCAGATAAAATGAATCCCAGCTCTCAGGATTTTACAGAAAACTCGGATGGGGAGCATTGAGAGGACTGCCCGCTGGCAGGGGTATGGCTCCTTGCCTCAGGGAGAAAAGTCCCCTGTGAGGGAGAAGAGCATAAGCGAGGGGGCGAGGGGAAGAGGCATTAAGAATGGGTAATGGGGGAGGAGGCTTTGGGCACTGGAGCAATTAATTGGAATCACAAATCCTACCATGAGAGAATGCGTGGAACCAGGACCAGCTACATAACTTGTGGGCCCTGTGCAAAATTAAAATGCAGGGCCCCTTGTTCAAAAGTGATCAAGAATTTCAAGACAGTGACAGCAGAGCATTCAGCTAACCACAAGGTCCTTCTAAGCGCAGGGCCTTGTGCGACTGCACAGGTCACAGCCCCTGGAGCCACTCTGTGCAGTTACTTAAATGACAAGCAAGAAGAACATTCTCCATACTGAGTGTGTTCATAACAAAACGCCGAGTGAAAGAAGCTGGAGCCCAAGATGAGACACACACACTTTGTAGCGGGGAAAGGCCACGTACATCCAGGGCATCCCCTGGGGCCTCACCTTTAGGGACTACCTACTGCATCTGCCTGAGAACTGAGTGGGCCTCTCTGGTTTTCCTGCCCGTCTCTGATGCAAGAAGCTAAAAAGGAGAAGTTGAGGGGGCTTGGGAAAACCACACACTGAATCGCCCTTCCAAATGGGTATGAGATGTCGGTAGGGGTAGCTTTCACCAGCAGCAAGTATACTGGTTTGTATTAGGCAAGGCTCTTGGGTTACAAGCATAGCTCACAAACTAAATGGCAGGGGGCCAGGGTGAAGGGTGAAGGCAGCTGCAGAGCTGGCTGGCATTAGGGGCTTGAGTCCTGTCAGGACTCTCTCATCTCCTTTCTTCTGCATGCAGGATTATTCTTTCTAATTCTCTTGTCTAATTCTCATAATGAGAGCCATTCTGTAGGCAGACGTAGGCACATATCCTTCCAGCTAAAGGACTCCGAGAGGCAGCCTCAGAAAAATCCTGGGGAGAATTCTGATTGGCTGGCTTGGATCATGTGCCCACCCCTGGACCAATCACTGTGAGACGCTAGCGTTGATCCAGCTGGGTCTCATGCCCAGGCCTCTGTGATCGTTAGCTCCCACTTGAACCCACATTGTTGGTGGGGGTGGGAGTGGGCATGGTGGGGATGGTGAGCAGTTCCCTGAAAGAAGTGGGAACAGTGTCCAGGCAGACAAAACAAATGCCCACAATAATGTTGAAATCTAAGGATTGTGCCAGGGTTTAAAATGGCCCCACCCACTTCCACCTCCAAATCTGGTCCTACTTGAAAAAGGAGCTATGTTTATTCTAGTTTTCCCCTTAGTCAGGAAAAGCCTTTTGTCTGCCCATCCACAGACAACAGAGCTTTCTATGGGAGGAAGTTGGAAGGGCCTGCTGCTACAGTGCCTGAGGCCTCGTTGTGTCAGGCTTGCCAGTCCTGGGATTGTGGCCAGATGAGCACTTAGGTGGGAGACTGCCAAAAACCCCTGCAGGGGAGGAAGCATCTCTTCAGAGTGAAAAGGGGACGGTGTTTCCTTTGACTCACTTCTGAACTGATGCCCTCGAGAACTCAGGAAGCCCTCAGGATCACAGCAGCTCAGCCCGGCCTCTGGCAGCAGAGCCAGGGCTGAGGGTGTGACCCAGCTAAGTAATTACTTTGTTCTGACTTCCTGGGGCAACAACATCACCTATCTGTTCTCATGGAGGAATGACACACCCATCTCAATGTTCAGATACAGGAAAGGCGCTGGGTAAATACACAGAAAGGTAAATGGGCACAGTGCTCAAAAGCCAGCTGAAGGTCGTACTTATGGACTAGCTGAATGACTGACGGACACTGGCTGACTGACAAAGACTGACTGACAATGGTTGACTGCTTGACTGACACTGACTGAGAGATACTAACAGATACTGACTCACTGACTGACAGATAGTATCAACCGACTGAGACGGACTGATAATGACAGAGAGACACTGACAGACTGAGTGACTGACTAAGAGATGCTGACTGAACGACACTGACTGGAGGACTGACAGCATTGAAAGTATGGTCAACACCTGTAGCTGTTGGGAGTGATTACGCAAACAGGATTAGCAAACCACAATAGTTTTGACTTTCTCTGAAGTCAAACTTACTCTTTAAAATAGTGTTTGCATGAGTTAAACAAAACATTACAGCCTTCGAGTCCAGTTTCATCGAAGCCGTTCCTGATGAGGCAGCATATAGAGGCATTTTTTCCCCAAAGGAAGGACAACCTGAGCAGAAGCACAGGATGGAGACGAGGTTCCTCTCCTTGCAGGAGTGGTTTCTCCCAGCCTGACCCCTTTGTCTCTCTCTGAGCCTGTCTCCAGCTCTCATTTTCTCAAAGTCCTTGCCTCACACAAAATCACCTGCTCAGCAGTCCTCTGGGCTCCATGTTTTGCTTGATTATAAGGCTTTTGCTCTCTGACCCTCCTCCATCTCATGGCCCCATCCCCACCCTCAAATCTCCTCAGTCTTCAAAGCCCTCCTCTTCTGTCCTCCTCCCAGAAGTCTGCCCAGCCCTTCCAGCACCTGTGAGCCATCCTTCTGCTCAGATTGTCCTTCTCAGTGCTGTGCTGTCGGGGCAGAACATTTGCGGACTGCTGCATGGCACCCCTGACATCGTTGTGCTCTGAGTGGTTATTTGCTGCTCTTGACTGAACTCTTCTTGCCTTGTATTTAGGCTGGTATTTAAGTCCAGCACACTTGCTGGGTTGGGACTCTGTAATCTTGTCTCTCCATCAGCCCTGAGGCCAGTCAGTCAGGGCCTGCGATGTCACAGAAACAAAACAGGCCCCAATCCCAATGACTAAGAGCAGAATTTGTCCCCCCATTGTGCTCCATGTCCATTATGGGTTGGCGGGGGCTGTGCTTGCAGAGATGGAGGCTGAGGGAGGAAAAGAGAACATTGGGCACCGGCCCTTAAAGCTTCTGCACAGATATCACTGCTCACATTCCATTCGCTAAAGCAAGTGCCGTGGCAACATCCAACTCCCCAGGGGCAGGAAAGTGCAGCTCTACTGTGTGTCTGCATATGGCAGGCATATTGGGAGAATGACACTATGACAGTTTGTCTGTGGTGGACTAAAGGAAACATTTATTGATCGAAAACCTCAAAGGAAGAAGTGAATTACATGAAGCATGGTACATCCCTTTAATGGACTATTGTAAGCTATTAAAAAGATACTGTAGGCGGCTATTAATGACATATAAATGTTGTGCATATTATGACGTATAAAAGTAGATCATAAAAAAGAATGTACCATACGATCTCTCTTTTTTTTTTCTGTTAAAAATGCATATTAGATTTATAGAAAATAGCCAAAGGACATTCTCTAGAAGATCAGCAGAGTATATCTGGACGGTGGGATCATGATTACAGGTGACTCTCTTCCCTTTTTGGTCTCGCTATATTTTTCTAAATCTTCTGTAGTTAATAACTTTGGTAACAAGAAAAAGAAATTCCTTGCTACACAATGCTACCTTTTAAGAAATAATAAAACATACATTCATTATACAAGATTCAGACAATTCATGTACCTTGAATTGATTTCTGGTAATACCAAAGTGTAGATCCTTCCAGATGGCTTCCCACACATCCATGCATATTTAATTGAAAGAGAAGCCTTGGGAGCACAATCCTTGGGAGCACCCTGCTGGTTCCCCTGCCAGGAAAGCCTGTGCAGGCCTCGGTTCCTGCGCACCCTGAAGGATCCAGGAGGCCGCCCCAAAACTCCGTGTCTGCTGGATGCAGTGGCTGTTCCATGGGAGCCCCATCACCTTGTGGCACCCTGGGCCACGACACTTACATTTGGGATCATGTTTGCAGGAGAAGAGGGCAGCCCTCCCTGTGGGGACCCCAGGCCCTGGGGCCTCACGACCTTGTCACTCAGGAGAGGAGGGGAATGGACACTTCCCCATTCTCTGTTTATGTTCTTAAGTTGACTCAGCTTCAAGAATTTTTTTTTTCTTTTTGGTCACGTCATGTTCAAAATAACTCTTCGGGATCTGTTTGGTGCAAACGCAGCTGATTTATGGCTCTGTTGCCTTTTGGTTCGTTGGCAAAGCGCTGCCTGGCCCTGGGGAGGTTTCCTCTGCTTGTTTACCCGGAGTGATTTAGGAGCTGCAGGGCCAAGAAGGTTCCCCTATTTCTTCCGCCCGGGGACTTGACCTCGAGGCCTCTGTCCTCAGGGCTCACACCCTGTTTGGGGCTCAGCCTCATATTTTATACAGAGTGGCAGTTATCCTTTGGACGCCCTGGACCACGTCACTCACATTCTCTGGCTTGTCACCCTTTTCAGAAACCCCAGGGAGAGTCCCCAGAGCGGCCTGTCTCGTTGACTGTGCGCCCGCAGCCCGGCTTCCTCCTCGGCTTCACTGCGGCTCCTGCTCCTCCGTGGCGGGCGAAGCGGGGAGGGGCGGGG